ACCCATCACGTATCCCAACCATCATGTATCCCAACCATCACCTATCCCAACCATCACCTAACCCACAATCATGTATTCCACAATCATGTATCCCACACATCACATAGCCAAATACATCATATATCCCACAATCATGTATTCCACATCACATAGCCCATTACATCGTGTATCCCAACCATCACCTATCCTCCACATCACATATCCCACAATCATGTATCCTAACCATCACATATCCCAACCATCACATATCCCACAATCATGTATCCCAACCATCACATATCCCACAATCATGTATTCCACATCACGTATCCCACAATCATGTATTCCACATCACATAGCCCAACACATCATGTATCCCACAATCATGTATCCCAACCATCACATATCCAACACATCACATATACCACAATCATGTATTCCACATCATGTATTCCACAATCATGTATCCCAACCATCACATATCCAACACATCACATATACCACAATCATGTATTCCACATCACGTATCCCACAATCATGTATCCCAACCATCATGTATCCCTCTTATCACCTATCCCGACCATCATGTATCCTGCCCATCACATATCCAAACCATGACTTATCCCAAGTATCCCACCATCAAGCATCCCACCATAACATATCCCACCATAACATATCCCACCATAACATAACCCACCATCACAATACCCACCATCACATTACCCACCATCACATTTCCCACTATCACATTACCCACCATCACATTACCCACTATCNTCTTCTTTCGTTTATAGTATTCATTATATCTGTTTCACCTTTCGTTTATAGTATATCACATTACCCACTATCACATTACCCACTATCACATTACCCGCTATCACATTACCCACTATCACATAACCCACCATCACATTACCCACCATCACATTACCCACCATCACATTACACACCATCACATTACACACCATCACATTACACACCATCACATTACCCACCATCACATTACCCACTATCATATTACCCACTATCACCCACTATCACATTACCCACCATCACATTTCCCACTATCACATTACCCACTATCACATTACCCACCATCACATTACCCACTATCACATTACCCACCATCGCATTACCCACTATCGCATTACCCACCATCACATTACCCACTATCACATTTCCTACCATCACATTACCCACCATCACATTATCCACTATCACATTACCCACCATCACATTACCCACCATCACATTTCCCACAACGGTATTCCATGTCAGTCACATGTATCTTTTATAAGCAGAGGTTGGAGAGTATCTCATTATCAATATTAAAGACTGATAATTTATATCTATTTCACCTTTCGTTTATAGTATTCATTATATCTATTTCACCTTTCGTTTATAGTATTCATTATATCTATTTCACCTTTCGTTTATAGTATTCATTATATCTATTTCACCTTTCGTTTATAGTATTCATTATATCTATTTCACCTTTCGTTTATAGTATTCATTATATCTATTTCACCTTTCGTTTATAGTATTCATTATATCTATTTCACCTTTCGTTTATAGTATTCATTATATCTATTTCACCTTTCGTTTATAGTATTCATTATATCTATTTCACCTTTCGTTTATAGTATTCATTATATCTGTTTCACCTTTCGTTTATAGTATTCATTATATCTGTTTCACCTTTCGTTTATAGTATTCATTATATCT